TCTGATTGCCCATCGGTCGCCGGATGTACCGCTGTGCACATGTCCAGGCGAGTCAAGATCTCGAAACTATTCTTTCCAAAAGCCACTCGAGAATCGTGGATTATGACCAGGGAAGATGGCGTTTGGCGGCCTGTAATTGCGAAAAACGTGATCAATGAACAATTTAATCGAACCCTCGGCATCAATGGAAGCGCTATACGGAGCGATGCAAACCATCTTACTAAATCTGTCGAGAAAGAACGAGCACCTCGTTTTCGCCGTCAGCATGCTCGGAAACACAACAAAATAGACGAGACCGACTGACTTCCAACTATCATTCGGAGGATAAGATGGGCTCTGCAGTAGCACTTGCGTGCGCCATTCGCTCATCACGCGCTGACAAATTCCCACAAGCCTTCAAGTATCTTGCCACCGCTTGTACATACGGGGCTACCACAATTGGGGATAAATAGACTGGTAGGTCGTCTCATGGTCAAATAGACCGACCATCGGTGTATTATGCGCCTCGTTGAAATCTTGTGATTCAAATCATCGTCGTGGAACCCCAACCCATGACTCGTCGCCAATTGATGCAACTTCATAGTGAAGGAGACCATTCTTCAATGCATAACGATGTACCCGTGTTTTCAAGCAATCAGGAAGCTTTTTCATGGAGTTACATTTCACTCGATGAAAGTGCCTTGATGATCAGATGACACTTTTCATCCTTAAGATACATTCGACGTATAATATCGAATAAATCGTTTTCGATATAGCTGATATAAGTTAACACTTTATCAGGACGACGAAATATCGCGACTACCAGCACGTTTGTTTTCGCTGACTTGTTCGCGACCGTGGAGTTATATTCGGCAAAAGAATGACAACCAGCAAGCCATTTGCTGTAACAAGTGAGGCGACTGAATCGCATAACTCAGGCTTGCGTGATCCGTGTAGACGATAAACGCAATTGACCCCAAGAGGTGAGCACGATACTTCAACAGAGCAAATTTTATTGCAAAAAGCATCTTGTCGTGGACAGGGTAGTTGTTTCCTGCTGGCTTCAGCTGTCGCGATTGAAACGACACGACACAATCGTATCTTTCTGAGTCATTTTGCAAAAATTCACAACCCATTGCAAACTCAGAAGCATCAAACACCACGCTGTATGGCTTCGTATCATAAGCAGTAATGGTGCTTCGATCAAGCTGTTTCTGATTTTAGTGATGGCTTATTTACAAGTGGCTGACCACTCCTTTCGTACGTCCTTCTTCAGCAAGTTGGATTGTGGACATTTGCCGCGTAGTTACGCGAGAAGTAATGTAGGTAATTGGACAGACCGATCCAGTTCCTCAGATCGTTTTGATACAATGGAACTGGCTTTTCCACAAATGCTTTGACCATATCAGGGTCTGCACGAACAACAAAACAACCGAAAACCGGTACTTTGTCAGCGCCAAAAATACACTTTGCAAGAATCACTTGCAATGAGTGTTCACGCATACATTCGAGCATCGCACCCAAGTGCATATTTTCGGCAGATCAGCCCTTTTCGTCCTTCGAATGATAAGGAATACTATCAAAATATGTCTGTGCGAAGCGTCGCAGTGGTCGAAACAATTGCGAGACCAATCGATCGAACGTTCCTAGGGCATAGGATAGAATCGGTGGCATCACAAGCCCATCCATTAAATAATCGCTGGTGTACTAATAGGCGTTATAGGGACGTCCTCCCCCCTCATCTAGATTCGATAATATCCATCATCTAAATCATTGCTAAACTGTGTACAGCCGCACATAGGTTGAATGATGGCATCTTTATGCGGAATGGGCGTTTGCGCGGGAATGATCAGCGCAACCAACTTCGTATAGGCGTGACAGAACGTCATTTACTATTCGGCATACTCACCAAAAAAGTCAGTACGCTGTGAGGGGACTCTCCCTCCCTCACCAAACCAGTAGCTTGCTTTTGAGCGAAAGCGCAACAATATACTCAAATTGCTAGCGCGGAAGTGGCCATTGTAGAAAAACCGCATGCTTTGAGCCAGGATCACGATCAATTTCGTGCTGAGCTCCACGGTCGGGTGTAAGACCAGAGGGCGGTTTACACCTCCAAAACAAGTGAAAAATAAGGATAAGTTGGATCCTACAAGATAACAGATCCTCTACGTTACTACAAATAATGTCAAATATTTCAGGGACTAAATCATCCATTTCTGATGATGAGCGTAGTTCCACTGAATCAACCTTTAATCGAATCAACGACTTCCGCAATGTCATCACACTTGAGGTTGTGTAGAAAGTCATTGTAAGTGACTGCATCAAGTTGAAGCAGCTCTTCCTTCGCCGACAACGGAGTCAAACAGCATCTTTTCTGGCAGCTTTACGACCAGTCGTTGCGTCCACAATAATATTCGCATGCCACATATCCATGGGAGCAGTATAACTCATCCGAGGACTCGCCTGCATCCAGAGCCGAGGTATCAGTACCGCGATCAACAAACTCCGTTGATATCTTCGGAAATGTATGCTCAGCAGCACAGCGGATGGGTACATCACCCCACTGGCCAGTTGTACCGACTGACCCACAATCCGACTCAGACACTGTATTAGTGGAGTATTGGCATATTTAGCTTCAATCAATTCCTTCGACTTTCCATTACGCACTTGTCGAAAACATTATTCTGTTTAGAGGGGGGGCAAAAATCTGCATCTCTCCCTCATTATTTATTTCCTTTGGGAAAATTGTTCATTTTTAGGTGTCCATTTCACCACTTGATCTATCTACACATTTCTTGAGTGACCACCCGTGGCCACTCCATACGACCCGTATCCTCCCTAACCTGGGGAATGTCAATTTTATAACATATACTAATGAAGTGTGGATCATTTCCAGCAGGATACGACTGTCGAGCTCATGAGCGCTTCTTCTGGTGCATTGTGAATGTTGGAAATTTACCTCCAAGAGTTTCACCAGCGCCAAAAGAGCCATTTCCTATCGTTCTCGATCGCCATTCTATCCATGACCCATGCTTCTCGAGCAACGATGTACTTAAAAATCAGGTCATACTGTATGCCCATCATGAGGACTCTGAATACTTCCTTGGGCTTGAAATCTTCTAGCTGTGGTTGATAGTGATCTTCGCGGTGACCACTGCACCAGTAACCAACATCAATGAGATAAAGTCGTTGCTTCTATCTATTGCATCCAAAAGCACTAAATCATTTTCAATAGCACTTTGCTTCCGCGCATACTTACGCGACACAGGGGTCAATCAAGACTTTAAACGAACGACCTTTACCTATCCCAATCGCTGTGACAATGAGGACACCACTTCGACTCGTGTCGTTAGTGAAGGACAGCGATCCTTCAAGGGTTGAATCCTCATAAGTGATTTTTCCAGTACACTTATAAAAAGTTATAATTGCCCCAGTAGACCGCCCTACATCTCTTGGCGTTTTCTGGACGCCTTGTGGTATGGTCACACGTGAATCGGGATTATTACGACGAGAACCGTATCAAGAGGTTTGTCTCTTCACGTGGACATTCTTGACCGAATTGTTGACATCCATAACAGCAAACTTGATGCCTATGGACAGTCACCGCACTAAGGTCCATTAATTCCAGAATTCCGGTAGCAGCAGTCACTGCTTCCATCGGATCGATCGATTGACCACATGCTTGACGCAAAGGGTACTGCAATCATAATTCTACCTTCCAGAGTCATCGGGCTGTGGTGTAAGACTTCAGTCTTAGGAGACAATAAGTTAGCCCCTCTGTAAACACAGTGATCATCAGTGCCTCTTGCAGTTGTTCGCTTGCCATGCTGGGACGAAGCTCACGGGGCTTCTGTACATAGTCGTACAATGTGCCGTTGACTTCACGGTGTGACAAAAATTTCGACCGTTATCGAAATGCAACATTAGGTGGAAGAAAAATCGATCGCATGGCCCTTTCAGCTCTTACCGTATGGCAAAGTAACCGGAATGGTTGACTTTCCATGTCATAGCCCAATCCTTTGCGTGGCCATCCAAATACGACATTGTAAAGGTGGGACATCACTGATTTGAGTCATCGTGATATCGATGAGCATTTCTGGCTGCCAGAGCGCAAGATTGTCATCTTCGTTCAAGCAAACGCTTTCAACCTTAATTCTTACAGGACATCCGTTTGACCCGGCAATGTTACCGCCACTGGTGGAGGAGACGACGGAACTGGCGTCAATATTTTCTGCGATAAAAATCCTAATATCCTTACACATACGCACCAAAATTTGCTAAGTGTTGCGTTATCGCCTCTTGTTTCAGTTACAGCATATCGTTTGATCTGAAGACGACATTCGCCTGTGGTGTCCACCTTTTCCGTCGATAAATCCATCGAAGTAGTGCGTTGGAACGACTACTAGTGCTACCAAGTGTAACGGAAAATGCCCGTCCGTATACAAACATTGATTGAGGAAGGCTCGAGGCAAACTGACACGCCTCACTGGGTGTTGCTCGATTCCAGCGAGCCTTTGCCTTACGTGAATAGGAAAAAAGGTGAAGTGGCATTTTTTATATAACCAATTGGCTTAAAACTCCCCTAACCTGATAAATATCTCAAGTTCTGATACAACAGCTCAGGGCCATAGCTTGAGCTCAGCTCATGGCTCTTCGGCTACCAAGGCTATTTCGTCTCCAACAAACCTTGAGCCGTGGAATGGCGGCGTCAATGAGACGCGAGAATAAACGAGGACGTTCACATCGAACGGCGTGTAGCCGGTAGACGCTTGCAGTGCATTGTACAGAGCGAACTCCACAAGTGGGTATATACAACTTTGCAGGGTGTATAGTTGGTGATTAAAGACACAAACACAGGAATGTGGTCCACATAACATGTGAAACCAGACCTATAACATTGTGCTGGCGACGCCTTCTCGTTTTCTGAAGGAGAGAGTTTAGAAGACAAACCGCTATAGACTTTTTATGTGATCAGTGCTTTTACCAAAAACTGATCCAATTTCCACGAAATCAACTTGTTGTTATGACTCATGTGCATATCGACAAGCAAGTTTATGGACTAGACCGTCGCTTGATACTTGTACTCCCCAAATTACGAAGGAGCTGTCGACGCCACCATAGACGCTCAATGCCTTACGTACTGCTATAAGCCCGGTCAGCTTCCATAAACCTAATGATTTTGCTACCGGACAGGTCTCGACCTTGGAACATTGCTAGGGAATTTTTGTTTGTGACGATAACATAAACCTCTTACGCGTTCCCGAAAGGAAGATATCCCTCTCGCATCACCAGGATAAAACTGCCGACCAGTCATCCGGTACACATAGAAGTAAGCTGGGCCAGCTAATAACGCACCCCCCCGCGGCTGGGTCCCGTGATCTTCAAATGTAGGTGCGGGAGGAGACAGTTACTCTCTAACACCATACCGCCGTCGTACTTCTCACGAGAGGGCGTTTAAGATGCCTCTCCGCTCCCTTTGAAAGGGATATTACAGTATTGCATCCAGCAAGTAAGTCATTGACATGACATACTTTTTGATCCGGGTGACATATCTATTTACATCGAATTATTCCTTCAGCAAAGGATAAAAAGACACTTAGAATCCTTTTACACATTGATTTTACTTTTCTTTCGCACTCAGTGTGTTGGCTAGTAGTTTCGGCATCTTAATGCCTCCCGTAGTGTTGACTACGTCTGACAATCGCTCGCGTCTTACCGCCACTGTCTTATTATGCATTAACAAGACCCGGACAATAGAGTTGATCACCAACAATTTTACGCTATACGACTACCTTTATTTAGAAAGTGCCGCTCTCATTATGGCTAAGACCAGATTATTGCAATCACGAGAGATGCGATAAAACCAGGTCCTTCCGGAAGATTACCTTGTGCCTAGTTCGGCTCGTTGATCGGCACTCCACTTTTGCACCTCTTTACCGAGAGTAGGGGACAGGTTTAGCGCAAAAGATTGGTAATACCACGAATTTGTAATTTGCGAGCACATAGCTGCTGCTCAATGGAAAATGTCAGTCTTATCCTCTTCAGCTTGGTCAGAGTCCAGCCTTGCCAATGCGCTCCTAGAACCTTCACCTCCCTCGCCTGAACAGGCTGTTACCGCACAGACGTTGCTTTCATGAACAATGTACAGTGAGCGTTTGAAAAATTTAGGTTTGAACCGAATCCAAACAGAGAAATTTAAGCAGAGCTATTCGTCTAAGATATGAAATTTAAGCTATACATTCTATTAAATCTTTTAAACTGTGGAGATCGTCGGCAAATTCTCATACTTCTTGGCTGAACGCTCGCTTAGGTGGTACGGAAATTCGCCAGTTTTATGCGCGGTTGGAATTGGAATACCTTTTCTACAGAGGTAACAAAGGTATGTGCCCATTCGCACGCATGGTCTGTAGTTTGGAGAGCGCTAGCACGACGCGCTGTTGCTACGCCTGGAGCATAGCCAGTTTATCTCATTTCTAGATGAGAACTGTTTCGTCTTCGACCAAACTTTGGTATGAACGGCCCAACTGCGGTGGCCGGTTGTGTCCGCCAGAATCTGTTTGAGGCAATCCAACAAACGCAATTTACAGCTGGTGACGGCTCTGGACGAGCGATAACCGAAACTGACACTATGCTACCAATCGCGCCATACCCTTGTGTAATATTACGGCTCCCCGGTGATAATTTACGTGCTGGGGTATTTTTTTTTCTTTGAAAAGTTGGGATATTTTTTATATATGGCAAAAGTTGGGGGATTTTTTTATTCTCCCATTATAAAATGCTATTTTATAATAGTATCTTATGCTAAACTTAATTAGATATTACCAAAACCTTGAAATGTATAACGTGAAACTAGCAGCCAATATGATCCACGTATCTCCTATACGGGGTCCCGAGTGTATCGAGCACTAATTATATTACTTCATAATAAACCTTTACTTTAGTACTTCGTAGCTTCGCTCAAACGTAGTATAATATGTGCGTCCAGAATAGGGTAAGTATCCTGTTACAAACGTTAGGTTATTAGGTACCATTTTCAAGTAATGATGAGACTAAATTTTGAAACTATTGGACTCAAAGACACAATGTATGCATCATTTATTGCTGGGTCTTATACAATAAAATCTTCTGACCAGTTATAAGTGTAAAATATGCTTTCTTGAAGCTGCTCAGCTTCAGACAGAACAGTAGGCTTGATAATAATGTACAACCTTTGACACAGCTTACAAGACTGTATATGCTGTGTCCGAGAGTACATTATCCACATGTGCTTCGGAATCAGAACGAATGTTGTACATGTCGTGAAGTGCTCTTGAACTTGCAATTTGCGTATAGCCTAATTCCCTCGTAAAACCCCGACCTCGGTTTTCAAACTTGGCTGTTTGCTGAAGTCCCGATACTCTCGAAAATCGATGCAATCTCGTCATAGTCGTACGCACAGTAGCATCGGTATCCGATCTAGGTTCAGAGTCCAGATTTTGAGGTGGGCTTGACGGGTCTTGTCGTCCCGACGGGTCTTGTCGTCCCGAGATATTTGACCGATCTAGTCGTCCCGACATATTTGACGGAGCTTGTCGTCCAGACATATTTGACGGAACTTGGCGTCCCGACATAATTAGCGGGTCTTGTCGTCCTGACAAAGTGAACGGATCTTGTCGGGACGACAGGAGTGACGGGTCTTGTCGTCCCAATTCAGAACCGTCAAGCGTATTTGAAAACCTACTCGTGTTGTCGCCAATATCATTGCTCGTCTGACTTCGTTGCAGTAGCGGATGCTGACGCGATCGACTTGCTTGTAAAGTATCTTGGGGTGCCTCCTGTTGAGCCAAAGTCAAGAGTCGAAGTAATTGTCCATACTCGACTTTAGTACCATTAAGGTTAAACAGCATTTTGGCTAAACTATTGAACCGAAAGCGAGTCAATCGAAAGCCAAAGGCGGACAAGACATCACGTAGTTTATCCACATCGATCATTCCACTATGACGTAGATCGTGCGCACGAAGTTCGCGACGCAAATCAATAAGTGTATACTCTCGCTCGATCAAACAATTGAGCAATGCAGTAGCAAATTCAGATCGTAATTCGACAATTTCACTGAAATGAGTCACAACTTCTCCCAATGTCGTGGCTTCAACACGTGAGATACTGCAAACCATGACAAAGGAGCGAAACATTCGTTGTTGAAGCACAAATGTATTAAGAAACAAAGGAAGCGGCACCATCACAGCAGGTGCAAGTCCATACTCTTTGTAGATGTCATCCAATTCGTATACTGCACATTGAACGAGTAAAGCGATAAAAAACCCATTGAGAATGAGTAGAAACATAACAGCAACATGCCAAGCTTTTCGAGAGAAAAAGCGTAAGTTCAGATGCGGAGTTCCAATTTGTGCACCACTCATTGCTCGACGTGAGCGAAATTTGGGATCGTTCATGTGGTTGATCTTACGAAAACACGTAACCATGAGTTGCAAACCTTCATCTTTTTGAAGAATTTTATGACGTCGAGAATTTCGATGATCTTCAATTTCATCCAATTCTTCTTGGACTCGGTTCATCGTATCTAATGCCGTGTCCGCGGCTTCATTTTGCCATGCTAAAGCCTCTTCTTCAGCAATAAAACGAAGGTTTTCTAACAAAGTTGACTCATCATCACTGTACCCCGCAGCGCGCAAAAGTTGATGTACGCACGAACGAAAGTACAACAAAGCTGCAACATGCGCAATGACAAGACCCCAGGCGAACACAACAAACACCTCAACCAATTCATGGCCTGTTGGTAAGTCATACTCCAAATGTTGCAAACTTGCCAGCGCACCACAAAGGGCCCATGCGACTGCAAGTAATAGGACCCACATAGATGGCTCGACCTCAATCATGTGCGAAATTTGGTTAGCTTGAGCCCGTCGTAGGTACTTGGAGAAAGGGAACAGTTGAGGCAATCCGAATCTCCGAAGAAACAAATGACGCAACAACCGTCGCTCCACGACCTCTCTTTCAAATCCTCCAATGAGTTTTTTAGATTCAAACCAACACCATTTAGACTTAAGAGGAGCTGACTGGGCGGCTGGTGGAGCACTGATAGCATCCACAAGGTCTCGAGCTGTTATAAGTTCAGTACGATCAGCCAAGATGTTGCTTTTGCGTTGCTGCAAAAAGACGACAATAGCTTGAAGAATTAACGCAAGAGCCAAAATGAATATCGTCAAGTCGGCCACTTGGAACGCTAACATGGTTTTTGTGTCTGCATTAACTCCTGGCACCTCCTTGAGTATCTTGAGACCGAGACTAATTAGACCGAGCACCATGAGCTCTCGATATGCTTTACGAAGCATGTGCTGGTACTTGTCGTAACGAGAGAGTTTTTGCTCCACATTATGCAAAATAGACTCAAAAATGACTAGACAGAAGACCAGTATACTTAAATGGATCAGCACTCGCCAGAACTCGACATCATCCCCAACTTGGAAGAGGGACGCACTTCCCATGGCTAAAATTACCAAGTGAGACTCTTGCCCGATGGAAGTAATGAGGATTGTGAGGATGAACACGTCGCGAGTACCATATTGACATATTATGCACAATCGTACATTTTTTACCATGTAAAGTGGTATCTTTTTTGCGTTGATAGTGATATTGATGTCAGGGTCGGACTTCGGGTTCACTTTGCTGCGCTCAAAAGCTCGTGCACCAGCTTTTAAGTCCTTCGTCACACGCATTTATACATGGCGACACTATCATCGAAGTTGGGATATCGTTTAGCAGTCGTTGGTGCTTGGCAAAGCTCACAACACCATACACCTTTTTACTGTCAAACTGGCTATTTTTCTAATTAAGGTGAAAAACCTCACTTGCGCATGAAGCAGAAACGAGGACGGTTTAGAAAGGCGCCACGTAAACTGCTTGATTTTAGCACTGATTCGAGAATCCACTCTATAATCTGTACTATTCGCACACAGTTTCTATATCACAATAACAGCCTCATAGATAGAATAAAGGGTATGAGAGAGGCGTGATAGTTTTTTCTCAGGGCATGCCACGCTTTACAGTCTTTGAGCGTGCAAGACACGTCAGAGTCAAATGTTAGAAGACCTTGCTATCATTTTACTCAGTCTATCAGGTATTGTGTATGATTGAATAAAACCTCAATCTTTAGAACAATAACCGATTGATTGGGAAAAGGTGAAGCTCTAATTTTTAGTGAGGTTACGAAAGCCGACTGAGACAACTTGGGTCATCCCGTTGCAAGCTGACTACAAACGATTCAGATCTTTCTTACGTATAAATTCAACCTTTTTCATTCTCGTTAGCACGGCATCCATTGTCGGAGTATCCAAGAGTTTGTCGTGTCCGTTCCATCTAACTGGAAGGGACGAACGAAGGTGGACCACAAATTCAAGACTCTTCAATTTTGAGCGCTAAAGCGGAGCTTCAATGCCTCATCGCGCGCAACCCATTCAGCAGTGTATCGTAGACGCACAAGTAGTGTAATGGGATCGTTATTTAGGGCATTATTTGTGCTAGATAAGATGCCTGGTTGCGGATAAAGCTACACCGATCTAGAATTTTTTGAGTACAATTTCCCTCGCGTTTGACAAGTAAAACACACCATGGACAATACAATTCTGTCTGTCTTACTTAGTGGAGTAGTACCATGATAAAAGGACAATAAACACGATACGGTCTGCATGGATTTTCTATCATTACAGTAGAAAATGAAGACGCGAAAGGCTCGGAGAGCGCGAACGAGCTGTGTACAATTGTGCAGAGACGTTTAGTTTGTCCATTGACTCAACAGAGGTCCAAATCTGAAGCAGCAGAGCCACACAGTTTGGACTTGCGATGACAGTTGACGACGATGATTACTTGTGGTTGCTAAAATGTTGCTTTAACAGCCTTCAATGATTTTTCAAACCAGCGTAAACAGCCGTTTTGTATATTTTTGCTCGAGTTGCAACTTTCACGTTTAAGCACTTGCTTTTATAATAAATCGAAAATTGTTTGGTGATTACGTAGCTTACCCTACGAATTACGGGTACGTACTGTATTTTTGCGATACACTATTGGAACAATCATTTTTGAATACAATTCAGATTACACTTTTGTTAAATTCTGAATTCTCATGAGGGCTTTATAAAGATAACAGAATTCCGTAAAGGAGAGGCTTGTGCTACATGTAGGCTACAGCTGGTGTAAAAAGAAGAAGTATATATGTACTATTAGGCTAAATATAATTGATCCTAAATAGAGGCTCTCGTTTCGCTACTGGTCGGTGCGTTCGAACAGAATCTCTGAGCGGTTTTTAACGCCGATTTTTTTTAGTCAAAGTCTTTTCTGTGCAGAATGCACGGCAACTCCGATGTACTTGGTGGCACTCGCTGCCAATCCCACAAACTAGTCGCGGAAGGACTGTATCCTTTACGAATATGGAAAACTAAATGTTCAAGCACTTGTCATTGTATCAGCTATATCAGATAAGATAGGTTATGCCTATCGTGCGCTCCGATAGGATCCAGAGACTAGCTATCAAGGGGCTGGATGCGGGCGATTGAGAGCTTTACATCTGTATATGCCTTTATGGATCATTAGCGCGTCGAGCTTGACGTTATTCAGCTAGGAGGCCACGCGGGGGAACAAGCACCAACGTGCAGTGACAATAGAAAAGAGGCGTTGTCATATGAAAAGACTTGAAGCAAGTGTGAATGGTTTCTCGCGCGTCTTTTGGGGTGAGAACTACTGTATAATGTCTATGAGCTACAAGCTTTTTCGCAGCAAAGGCGCCAAAATCTTATTCGGAGGCAGTTCCGTTTGCAATTTTCATAGGGTCACCGAATGGTGTGGCTCGTTCCAAGACTTTCAACCCACCCTACCTTTTTCATAGTAGCGCTTGGTGTTGCATTAAACACGAGTCTGGCTTCCGTGTCGCGAGAGTCGGGTGGGTTGTGCTCGCCAGAGAAAACGGACCTTGCCATACGGATTAGAGAGGGAAGAATTTATCACCTCCCGAGAAGCTCCGCGATACTTGCGAATAGTGCATCTGTGGGACCGCTGAACATCTGCCCCCTTCGCGTTTTGCTTAGAGGTACAACGAATTGGAATCTCATTTAAAGACGTGCGACATATGCCTCAAGTGTAAAAGTTAAATTCCAGAAGAGACAAGCAAAATAAATAATTTCTTCCATACCTCGTGGTGGATATGGACCAAACACTATCGTCATAAGAGGTGGAGATAACAAACTAAATGATTTCCATGTCCGAGTCCTAGTAATTGTGAAGCTGTAACAAGTCCTGATAGAATACATTGCATTGTACTATACTGTATACTATATTGTACGACGTGCGATTGTCGGAAACGGTAGACACTACGCGGAGGCATAGAAAATATCAAAAATACCCTCGTGCATCATGCGACGAAGACATACCGGAGCTCATTTCTGACCTTATATATAAAATTTGAAAGTATTGATAGCGTGGAATGTTGATGCAATCCCAATTTAGATATGGTGCGGCTGGATCGTTAGGATCTGTAAATGACTGGAAGTCGTGAGGGAGACGTCATCCTGCTGAAGCTTTGGCAATGTAATTGTCCCAAATCAAAATCAATAATATTGCTAAGTGACTCGAGCGAATCGTGGTAGGTAAACGTGGTAACGAGTCGCGGCTCAGAATATGACGGGGAAAAAAGATTATGTCGTGGTCCCAAGAGTGTATTTTCTTGTAAGAAGAGAGAAAGTTTCTGTTCTAACTTTTGTCACGGCCGGTTAACAGCAGAAACAAGTGGGTGTTTGTAGCGGAGCTACCGTAGCTCTTTGCTCAGAGGAAGCTAAGCAAAGGTCACCGACATTAAGTTCTATATACTAGAACAGTACGAATATAGCAGATCGCAATCCGCTTACTTCAAGAGTATCCACAACCTTAGCCCAAGGCACATCAACTCTTCCGTTCAAAATGTAAATTGTATTTCTTTGTCTTATTTGCGGCAGTGCCGTCTATATCTATATCTATAGGGTTTCCTAAATATGTAGTAAAACCTAATTAAAATATATGACTACTGGCAGTCCTGCCACGTTTTGAATTCTTGTTAAGGTTTAGCCACACCATTGTGTGGTCAAATCATCTTGTTTGACCCATCCTTTCATACCAGGGTACGTGTAACCTGTTACACTCCCCTCATCAAAATTGCGAATGTCCACAATTCACACTTGACTGTCGCCTCGTACGAGGCTCGCGTGTCTAAGGCACCTCTACGTCCCCAAGACCTTCTTCACACATTCCCTGCTCAATGAGTTCTGTGTCTATGACACGAAAGACACCAAGCCTCTTTGGTTCTGATAGCACTTGCAAGCAGAGCCCTTTTTCGTCTCCTGCACGCTGTAACGGGGTTACATATACAGGCGTGGGTCACAAAAGATGGTGTGACCGAACGAAGGTGTGGATTACACAAGTCGATTTAAACACACAATGGTTTGGCTATACCGTAGCAAGACGCCAAGACGCGGCGGGACTACCAGTAGATATGCATATTGATTAAATTTATTACGAAAATATGAGCTTTTAGATTTAGGCGGCTTTGCCGAATATAACACAAAAAAAAAAGTAAATACAGTTTACCTTTTAAACGGAAGAGTTTATTTGCCTTGATTATGGTTTTGAGTACTCTTGGAGGTAGCGGATTGCGATCCGCTACACTCGTACTGGTTCTGGTATAGAACGTAAGGTCGGTGGCCTATGCTGAGCTTCCTAAAAGCAAAGAGCTACGGCAGCCCTGCTGCACTTATAAGCACTCGTAGACAATCTACCCCTGAGTCGTTACAAATGATTCTCTGTGAGCATGGAGCAAAATTCCTGTTTGCACCAGGGCATGCAGGACGGGCTTAAAATTACGATGTTCCTGCTTGGCCCTGAGGGCGTGGAACACCTTGTTTTGCAAGGTTCCGAAGGGATAAGCTCGCGCCTAGAGGCGCTTTCGAGCTATGAAGATGCTCTGCTAGAGCATCTACGGCAGAAAATCTCGGCGTCGACTGCATCCATGACACCACTGTCGGTGAAAAATGACTCCTCCCGACCCAGGCGGCTCATGGTGAGCGTTGAGACCTTTGAGGGGGAGGACGGTGAGAATCTTCTGCTCTCGGTGATAAAGGCCGAGATGGCTACGGAACCGCCATGCTTTAGAACGAACAACAGCGCGTGGTGCTAGCTCTCTCCAAGCTCATGAATCGAGCGCGAGAACGGGCACTGACGTGTGGCACTTTGGATGAAGCGGCGTTTCACTCTTAAACGGAGCTGCAGCTACAGCTTTTGCGATTGTTCTAGCCGCCTGGCCAGGCATATTGGTTACAATTGCGTTTCCATGCCGCCCGAATGAGCAAGAATAAGTTGGTGGACTTTGTCCAAGAGTTGAGAACTCTCATTACCGGGGTCGCAGCCGATCCTCTCCCCGAGGCGGTTTCAGTGACATCATTTTAGAGGGCCTTCGAGCTGGCGTGGCCAGAATGGAAGTTTTCCACGTGCATCCGTTTTCTTTTGAAGAAGTGGTAAATGTGGCATTGAATACCGAATTCAACTTTAGTCGGCACGACTCGATTCAAAGGCACACCCTCAGAGCTCGTCGAGCGGGCCTGAGCCAATAGAACTCAGCTATGCTGAGAAAGAGGAGGGAGAGCTCCGA